ACGGTTTCTTTATGAAGACTTCCTGGCGAGACCGCTAGATCATTGCGAATATTCTTTTTCTCTCTCCGATCTATTTTTGAGAAAATGGAGGAGTGTTCTCAGCTCGCTTCGTATGACTAAGGTGAATAAAAGCTATCGCCGGGAAAACCCCGGTCGACAAGTTGTGTACTTTCGATCATTACGATTGTCGGACTAATAATGAATGATTGAGACCAACCTTTGCGACTAATTGGATTGCCACGTGGACTGACGGCCTCAACCCGATTGGGCGTCGGCCTCCCGTATCCCCGCCGCGTCCCTTCCCGTACAACGAGAAGAGGGCACGTGTATGCGAGTGGGACGTACGAGAAGCCGTCGCCAAGATCAGCGGCCGATACTATTTCCCTCCTGAAACTCGGTGCTCGGGGTTCGTTGGCACTGGTTTCGTCATTGTTGATACGCATTTTCCGCCTTATTCGCAGCTATTGTCGTTTAATGAGTTGATCGTCATTCCGTGGACGGCAGTGGCGCCCCATTGGCCTAACACTCTGTGCAGCGATTGTTGTCGCCTCGAGCGTTACCAATCAAAAAGGCTTTCAGGAAAGAGCCACGCGGTTGAGACCCTCCACGTCGGATTCTGAGTTATGCAATGAGCGGCGTCGGGACTTGATCCGAAAACGGGACACCAAGTACGTACCCGCCCCCTTTCACGCGAAGCGAAGAGCAACGGCCCGATGGGAAGTTCAAGGATACTTTTTGGATTGAACTTCCCCGCGCCGTGCGTCCCGCGCGCCTTTTTCTCCCTTAAAACCCGCGCAGTTACGGACCCTTCCCCGTCTTACTAAGTCGGACTGACACAGGGGATTTCGGTTATGTCCGTGTCCCCACACTCAACTTTCCAAAAATCCTTGGCACACCCCATCTCGCTGTCTTTCTGGGGCCCCTTCCGCAATATAAACACTCCGAAGGAAAGACAGCGCAGGGCGTGAGGTTGAGCGTCACATACAATCCTTCAGGTCACAAATCTCCCCATCACCATCGCACTTGCGGCCCTAACCCCCCAAAGCAAGGCCCTAATGTAACCAACTACTACGTGATCATCCGCTCCACTGGGCCTACCAGGCCTATCCCTGCAGGCAACCAAGCTATATGTGTGTTGTGTGATACAGAGGGCCGGTCAGGGTCGAACCCTGGACCTCTTCTTTTGCAGCAACCCAGCTCAACCCAGCGAATTCTACATCAGCTGACCTGTCTATGCACTGTACTAGGCTGGGGCACAAGTATGTGGGGTGCCAACCTATCACCAAGGGATGGTTTGCAGGGGAGGTTGAGCAGCTACAGAATTGATTCCGCAAACTCCCCATCGTAATGCCAGAATTGCAACCCACTGAGATGTGTCCCCTCTGATCCATGGACTTATTTCTGCAGAATACCCCTCTTACTGTTAACCCCTCTGAAGTTTTCTGACATGGAACTGGGAACCACAGATACCACACACCACTCGTTTCAGCCCCACTGTCCCCCTCTCACCTCGTCCCCCCAACCTTCCAACCACAGGATTCACCTCTTGACAACCCCCCACCAACCTTGACACCACCTCCTCGCCCCTACCATAGCAACCCCCACCCCTAACTCCGCCATGATGCACCATCTCCTCCCTACTCTGCCTCCCCACCCCTTCCAGGGGACCCTCCCCCTCCTCCCCCCACCCCACCTCCTTCCTACCCTGTGCCATCCCATCATTCCCATGTAGAATTTGTCCAGCCAGCGAGCAGTGTGGAAGATCAGTGCAGGTCACCAGGGTACCAGATCCAGAGAATTTTGCCCAAGATGACAACAGTGTTCCAGAGCCACCCGCAGCAGCAGACCAGACCAAGTCTTGCAGAAAAGCAACACACAGAGCAGCACAGCAGAATCTCAGCAGTCTGAGAGTCGAAGCAGATAGAAGCAACCAGGGTCAGTTACCTAGTACCTACAATCACATGAGTTTCACGCCAGCATCCAGGGTCAGCTACCTACCTGCCCTTACCTCGGTGGCCCTAACAACTCTGAGGAGGTGGAGGGCAACGTGGGCAGTTCCGGAAACTTTAAGGGGCAGTCTTGTAAAGCATAGAAGACAGGCAGTGGTCATACCTTCTCAGCCTTTTGGCTAAGATCAAGTGCAGTATCAGTTCTGGGGCCTCGTCCCACTAGCAGCATTGAGTTTCCTCAACGCCCGAATGTGGACGTGTCTGCAGAGATATGCAGAAAAGGCGTTGAGTTTCCTCAACTGCACATCGCCACAAACACGTCCGGATTCAGGTGCTGAGGAAACTCAACGCTGCTAGTGGGACGAGGCACCTGATCATTTTAATATCTGCAGGAAAAAAAAATGTCCCTGTGCTCAGAGGGAATAAATGCTGTCCTCAGTGTCCTGTTTGTCTGTTTTCTGTCCAGGCACGCTGAGGCCAGGCAACTTCTCAGCAGGTGCTGCTATCCACCAATGGAACAGACTCAAAGGAGCCATCATCTAGCAGACCCATCTACACTCACACACACACACACCCCTCACACCCCTCACACCCCACACACACACACACAC